GTGTCAGCCCTACAGCGTGTACTATGCCAGTACGCTGCCACCTCCTCTACTCCTCCTACTCCATCCTCTTCCATAACCTCCTCGGCTTAGTCCTCTTCTGCGTCTTGCTCCACATCAACGGATAGGGGGCGTAACAGTGATTAAACTGATAACAATAGTACTAAACACACCACTCCTATCTGGTGGCACATTAGATTACACGCGCAGTGCCCCAAATTTGTTGTGATCTGTGAGTAAGGTAAACGGTTGTCCATACAAGTAGGTTGCAGCTTTTTGAGGGCCCACACCACCGCCATGCACTCCTTTTCAATGGCAGTGAATCTACTTAGCTATGCAAAAGTTTACGGCTTAGATAAAAATCAATGCCGTGTACACGTCCACTGATAGGAGACGCGGAAGGTATTAAACTGATAAAAATAGTACTAAAAACACCACTCCTATCTGGTGTCACATTAGCTTGACCGCGCAGTGCCCCAAATTTGCAGTAAGAGGACCGACCAAGCCTCTTCTTCCATCTCCCTGTTACAAAAATCAATGCCGTGTACACGACCACTGATAGGAGACGCGGAAGGTATTAAACTGATAAAAATAGTGCTAAACACACCACTCCTATCTGGGTAGGTACATTAGATTTTTGGCATAGTCCCAAATTTGTTGTGATCTGTGAGTAAGGTAAACGGTTGTCCATACAGAGTAGGTTGCAGCTTTTGAGGCCCACACCACCATAATACTCGCTTTTCTGTGCTTAGTGAATCACTTGGCTATGCAAGTTTACGGCAAGTAAAAATCAATGCAGGTAACCTGCGTCCCACTGATAGGAGGCAGGTATTAAACTGATAAAATAGTACTAAACACACCACTCCTATCTGGTGTCACATTAGCTTGACCGCGCAGTGCCCCAAATTTGCAGTAAGAGGACCGACCAAGCCTTTCTTCCATCTCCCTGTTACAAAAATCAATGCCGTGTACACGTCCACTGATAGGAGACGCGGAAGGTATTAAACTGAACAGTCTCTATTCTGCTCTTGCATTTCTATTTCTTCATAGAAAACAAAAAAATTCTGAGAAGACGTTGGCAGGGATATTCACTTGTGTGATCTGTCATGAATTGTCATTTGAATGTTATTTTGAACTGTGGGGCACAAGAACTTGAATCTGACAAAATGGCTGCCATATACACGTCCACTGATAGGAGACGCGGAAGGTATTAAACTGATCAGAACAATACCAAACACACCACTCCTTTTTTTTGGTGAGGCTTTACAGGACAGAGTGCTTCTCCACGGGACATGTTAACTCACGGGCAGCTGGCTCATCAAGGAACCACAGCAACTTTCCATGTACAGGTAAGACACGTGCAGCCGGTAAGGGTTCAGGCTCTTCTTCCTGGAGGATACGCTGCAAGCCTGTTGAACGAGGTGACCTTGTTCGGGTCCCAGGTGTACGGTTCCTAAAATGGCTGCCATATACACGTCCACTGATAGGAGACGCGGAAGGTATTAAACTGATCAGAACAATACTAAACACACCACAAATAAGGTTTCTCTCCTGTATGGCTCCTCAAATGATGCTTAAGATTAGAAGCGGCTGAAAAGCATTTCTCACACTCCGAACAAAAATATATTTTTTTAACATTCACTCCACTTTGAACGAAATGACGTTTGGGAAGAGATTAA